TATAGATTAGGGTAGTGCAAATATAGATTAGGGTGGTGCGATTTGCACTGAGCTTGGAACATAAGAGCACACAAGTGGCCAGCAGACTGTCTCTAGATTCGCCGAGATCCACTTGTTTGAAGTGTCCATTATTTCCAATGATGTGAGCAATGTTGCGAGTGGGGGGTTGAGATTTACCTATGTCTTTATCAAGAACCACCGCGACCTTCTTCTCCTCATCAAGAAAGAAACTCGCAGCGGTATCAGCAAACCGAACACCAATGAGTGGATTCATATCACAGATAAGAACAAGTTGTTCCACGACACTGCATTGGGCTCAATCTTACTAGTAATCCATATCTTGACGGTCATTGCAGGTGCAGCCGGTTCCTGGAATAGCACCGCAAGCTGCTCTTCTTTAACACTAGAGAGACTGATAGTATCTCGAAAGACAGCGTGGAAAGGCAGAGGCAGACGCGGTCCAAATCTCTCACTTGTATAATCAAAGCAGCGTAGGAAACCACCTAATGAGGTCTTCTTCTCTTTAGCATACCAGTAAGTGTTGCCCTTTAGAGTCAAGCCACGGGGATGAGACGGAATAAACCAGTCCGGCTCCGGTTCCCAAGTGAAATCATCAATGACCTTCCATGAATTAGAGTGTAAACAGTACATCTCAAACTCACAAACTCGGTTCCTGATACTCCGCTCCTTATTATACAGCAATCTCAAGACTTTGTGCTCCTTTTTCTCCTTGTCGTATCCGAGAGCGTACTTGTCCCGTTTGTGGAAACAACTGGTGGGTTCGATCCACCTTGTCTGTCCCAAAAAAGGGTTCCAAAGAAGAAGCCTAAAGGAATGTTGGTTGTATTTGGTGATGTAGCATAAGTATAAACCGTCGCAGTGGAAGATTTGAGATATGTTGTATATTCCATTTGCCTTGAGATTACCTATACGCTCTATAGATGGAGAGAGGAGATCGACGCTCATCAACGAAACTCTATGTTCCACCATCATCACCACCTCAATTCCCTGCTTCCTCTGCTTCTTCTTTGCTACAATTACAAAGCTCTCATCTTTCGTTAAAGTGCTCCACGTTTTGCAAGTCGATCGCACTTCTCCCAGAGATTTCACCGGAACCCTAGAGTGCACCTCCTCCTCCATATCCCTTGGAAGACTGGACATTCTGTAATTGAAATAATAAGTTTGGTCAGATTACTCTCATCTGATAAAGCAGAGTCCTTTTAGTTTTAAATTCAATGTAATTCGTTTCTTTTAATAAATTTGAAACGAATCTATATGCATAGAAAAATATATATGAAAAATATTTCCTCTATGAAATGATATTGACTAAGGGAATGTGTCCTTTATAGGCTTTTTCCCAAGATACGTTTTTAATGAAATGATATACTATTGACCAAGGGAATCTGCCTTTTATAGGCTTTTTCCCAAGATACGTTTTGAATGAAATGATATTGACTAAATAATCCAAATCTAAGACAGTAATTACGTACGCTCAAGCTTGTGATCTTCTAGTCAAATTCAAAAAGATAAGAATCCATCGTTATTTTAAGTGTTTTCAGATGTTAAACCTGTTTGGTGTTCCAAATTAAATAGTGACTGTAAGTCTGCTGCTATGTCCAATGTCAAGCTAACCTGCAGGACATGTAAAATGCTCAGCAATAAGCAATAGATCAAAGCGAAGGCGATAGATGTATGTATATTTTATAAGGTGAATGATATTCAGAAACCAGATGTATCAATAATCTGAGTATACTCTTATAAACTACTATCACCCGTGAGTTAAGTTCGAAGGTTTGAGATATATGAATTAGTACGCTTGAACCGATTCATAAACAGTTATGATGAAGAAACACATTTAGATAAAGATCGACACAATGAAACATTACCTCATCATTTCCATGAGATTGCTTCTTAAACCGATTGATGTTAAGTATCTGCAAACACAACACAACCAAAACCACCCAAATTAATATTCAGGGTTCATCATGATTCCAAAATCCATAGAAACAACTTAAGACATTTCATTAAAATT